GCTACAGTAGCATGGAACAAGTGATCTTTTTTACATACTCATTTCCTGATCATTGAAACACATTAAGGAGGCCATAAAAATAATTTTGATATATTAATTTAGATTAACGTAACTTGATTGTAGCCAGGTACTGTGGTCATATATGGTGCTCAGTTTTTGCAATTTTCTTATCATACAATATCTAAGATGAACCCAAGAGAATATAGTTTCTTTCATTCATTAATCTTTTCTTTATACAAAGGAAGATATAGATAGGTTGATTACAAACTGTACAGCTAAGCAAATAGAAGTGCTGACAATTCCACATCCGTTTTACTTATAAATATATCTAAGATGAACCCAAGAGAATATAGTTTCTTTCATTCATTAATCTTTTATTTATACAAAGGACCATGCCCGATTGGTTTCACAAAGCTTGTCAATGATGATATGATTATGGAATTTTCATAATCGCATACTTTGCACTTGGGATTATCCTCTTCCTCGCGTACTTTGCACTTGGGATTATGAAAATTTTGATAATTTTCATAATCGCGTCATTGATATGGTCAAATTGTTGATCTTTCCTCTTCCTCGGATATACAGTTTTACAGACTGAGACCACTGAAGAAAGCTCTCTCTGTTGAGTTTTTGTATTATAATCAGCAAGGATGGATGCCACCTAAGCTGTTTGTTGAAGATGGAAGCATTGGTTTCTATTTTCTCTCCTTTAGACATAATAGCATAGGTACCTCACAAATGAAGAAGAAGAAATAGTTGGGACTAATCCGGAGAGTGGTAGAACAAAGGAAATTTTTTTTAACAATTAAGGTTGAGAGAAAGAAGAAAAACAATTTCTATTGAAACCAAGCTCCGATACCATGAACCAAGGTTCACATTACCGATCTATACTAGTGTAACGATTGATCATCGGTATGGTAAGTGCCAAGGTATTGTATGTCGGTATGTGTCGTACGATGGGGCATATCGATGGTTTAGAAAAATTATCGAAAATAACTCAAAAAAGGAAGAAAGTTAGATTAAAGTTTTTAAGTTGGAAATAAATTTAAATTTACTATAATTTAGGAAAGAATAGTGATACATATTTTTCGAGCTTTAAGGAATATCTTTGTGGTACATACTTAATCGTCCTTATGTTAATATTGAATTATTTACAAAAAAAAATGATTTGAATTATTAGATTACTTATTTAAATAGCTTAAACTTTAAGATTCAAATGAAACAAGTAATTAACGATAAATTATTAGATTATTTATTTTAACAACTTAAACTTTAAGATTCAAATGAATCAAGTAATCAATCGATGGATATACATGGTTCTATCACAAAAAAGAATGACGGGATTCCACTTGTTGTGGATCGGGATCTTCAATCCTCTATATCTATATATAAATTTGATATATTTGATAGACCCAAACCTAAAATTGATCCCGCGACATAGTATACTGATGCACCGTATGCCATTTGTATATTAATGTGGTTTGGTCGTAGTTTGATTGCCTTGAATCATGTGTCCGAGGCAGCTTCTGAGGCAAGGATGCTTGTGACATATATTTGTGTGGAGCATAGAGAATATCAGAACTTCTACTTTCGCCACTAATTTGTTGTTTCGTGTCATAAGATCGATCATCTTATTGTTGCTTGAAGAAGAATAATCAGCCAAGATTGTATTACTGTTGACCGTAAGATTCTTCGTAATATGATCGCCGTGCATAAGATGAGATTCGCGCTTTGTCTATCTAGCCTAAGCAAACCTTACATTGATGAAAGCCACTATCTCGACAATTTGAGACTTGTTCTTAACACAAAATACAATACCTTACCAATATTTAGATTATCAAATCTTATATTTGCTGGTGTAGTTAGTGACTTGAAGGAGAATAGAATACTGGTAACAATAGAAAGAGATTTGAATGCTTTAAATTTGACTACATATGTTTTCTTACACAGAGCATAAATAGTTCGGATATTATGGCTTTTGTTATTAGTGTGATTGTTAGCACTTGTTGGCTTTATTGGCAAATTCTCACTGATTTAGATTAATAGCTGAAGCAATTGAAGTCACCGGGCGCCCGATAGGTGGGCCGGGCGGGCGTGTTCAACCGGATGCGGCCCAGGAGCCCGTCTGATTAAGGCTGAGTCTAGCCCAAGTCAAGTCAATTTGGATCTCTCGTTCGATTGAACCAGATGAGAACGGCATCCTCAAATTCCCACCCGTGCCCTAAATGCAGCGGTGAAACCGTCTCCTTCTCCACAGCGACCGCGACTGGGGCGTTTTCCTTGGCGAAAGGCGGCAGCAGCGGTGGCATCTTCCTCCGTCGAGCTCTTATCGCTGCGGCGTTTTCCTCGGCAAACGGTGGATGCTGCGGTTTCCTCTCCGTCGGCGAACGGTGACAGCGCCCGGTATCTCTCTCTTACACATTCTCCTCCTCCTCTTCCTCCTTCGCCTCTTACACAATCCCTTCCCCTCCCTCCTCTACACCCCTCTTCGCCCTCTCTACACATCTTCCCCTCCCCTTTCCTACTCCCTGATAGTTACCCGCTACCCTCCGAACAAACAGTCAGCATCATGTCATGAGCATACTTTAAAGAAATAGCAAGTCACAGTATGCAAGTTTAATACGGTTGTTAAGATAGACAGCAGGAGAAGTGCTGCTTTTAGAGAGAGCAAAGAGAATTGGGGAAGTCTTAGAGAAAAAGAAAGCACGGAAAACATAGAACAAGAGACTATAATTGGGTCACTGTCCAAATAAAATAGTAATCATTTTTCAATAGAATCATGCAAAAGTCTGACTATTCCTCATGTGAAGCATTTTAATTAAAAATATACCTAAGATAATACTAATCAAAGGTACTCTTAATCAACATTCAAACACCATTTAGAGGCTTACATCTGAAAGAAATGATTAATGGGAACTGAATGCAGGTGGATTTACGTGATTGGTCGGGGAATGTTATCCGATACAGATGATTAGTTGGAAGATTTCAACTTCCTTTTGGTTGGAAGCAGATACAGAAATTATATTTAGTTCGGATGCGCTTGATTTGAGGTAGAAGAGGCATTTGGACTTGGAGAGGGCAGCAATAAAACTACTTTTCTTGTGTTTTTCTGCAAACAGTGTGTGATACTGCTTCAAAATATAATGTTTTTGGTGCAAAAGAGGCTCTTTTGCATTCTCCCATGTAACAAGTCCACCATCCATCTTTCTTCCTATGAAATCTGCAGTCTGTTTAGTAGCTTTTCCACCGCCAAAGACCAAATTTCAGATCATAAATCCAACTTTACCGTGGTCAATTCCCTTCAATCATGTGAACTTTCCTCAGAAAAGGCTGCAAAAACAGCCAAGTGTCGCACCTGTCACACAAAATCTTCAAGTTCAAGTCTCTCCATTGAGTTCTTTAAGCAGAGTGGTTGGAGTGATGCACAAGTCACGAAGCTTATGCAGAGGGAACCCAGGCTTCTACGTGCTAGCGTAGAGACTATCCTGAAGCCCAGGATGAGATCTTTGCAGGACATGGGATTTTCTGACACTGAAATAGTTCAGCTGGTTTCATCATGTCCGAATATGCTCGTTTTACGTGACATCCAACCGAGGATCAACTTCTGGATGTCACTTCTTGGTTCTAATGAGAGGTTAATCAAAGCCTGCAGGAGGAACATGTTTCTCCTTACTTCTAGCTTGGCTCGAAAGATTGAGCCCAATATATCTCTCTTGAGGGAGTGTGGCATCAGTGAGCAATGCATCGCGCAGATGGTGGTGACACGACCAAGTCTTTTTTGTTGAACGAACAAATGTATCGGCGAATCTATCAAACATGTTGAGGAGTTGGGTGTGTCACGTGACTGTAAAATGTTCCCTCGTGCACTATTATCAGACATGACCCTGAGCAGGTCCAGGTTTGATGCTACCTTTGCAACCCTGATGAGCTTTGGGTGATCACAACCAGACAGCATTGCTGCATTCAGGAGGCATCCAGCCATTTGGAATCTCTCAAAGAAGAACTTATGTGATAAGATGACATTCCTGATGAAGGAAGCTGGTTGTGAGCTGACATATATCATTTATCGTCCTGTGCTTCTTACATATAGCTTGGAGAAGAGGTTGAGACCTCGATATGAAGTTATCAATTTTCTTGATCAGAATAAATTGCTGGATAAAGGACATAACCTGCTATCTCTCGTTAAGCTATCGGAAGAGAAGTTCAGAAACAAATTCCTTTTCCTGCTTCGCAAGGAGAAATTTATTGCTCAATATGATTCCTATGTTGTTGCTGTGCAGGGAAAGTCCCACATTGTTGCGGAAAACTAGGATTGCAAGTGCTTCCTTAAGACTGTGTCATCCTATTGCATGCTGATTGCAAATTAATCAGTTTATATTTGTGACAATTTAAATTCTGCAAGAGTTTGTTGGAGTATAACTTCCATGTTGATTTGGTGATTGTTCTTCTATTTATTTTTTCCGACAACAAAAGGTACTGATTCTTTTATGCTAATAATGTCTCAGAAATTGGTAGAGGGGGAAAGTCAATTACTTCAGACAGGTAACCAAATTGAGCACCCATCACAGGTCCAGAAAGATTATTGAATTTGAGCTACATTGGTGCATATCTATTTTTTGATAATAATAGTTGAATTAAATTAAGAGAATAATTACCAGGTAGGTGATAAAATGAACACATTTATAGCATATATCTATAGTTAGTTATGAATTATTTAGTATCTTAAAAATAAGAAACAGTATCATTATTTTTTTAGTAATATGTTTAGTTGATAAAATTTTAATTTAATGAAAGTGTCTAAGAGGAAAGATTCAGAAGAGTAGACAAAGAAGATTGTTAGATAGTTGTGGTGCGATTACTGAAAAGAAGATTGTTGGATAGTTGTGGAGCGACTACTGATTATAAGTTGACAATGATATTGCAGAGAATAAAATTCTTGTCAGAAAAGGATATTAAAGATATCTATTTTTTGCTTGGTACAACTTGGTTTGTGTTACTATTTTGGTGTCTTCAAAATAAGGAACAATACCATTATTTTTTTAATAATATGTTTAGTTATTAAAATTTTAATTTAATGAAAGATTCTAAATTGAAGGACTCAAAAAAGTGGACAAAGAAGATTATTGGATGATTGTGGGGTAATTATTGATTATAAATCGATAATGATATTGAACGGTGTAAAATTTTTTTAAAAATTTTTCAAAAGATTTGAAGTTTAGTTGGTGTTAAAAGTCACTATAAAGTTAAAAGTTTCAATGATCAAATATTATATTTGATAGTTTAGTTGGTGATTTGAAGGAGAATTTACTAGTAATAGAAAGAGATTTTAATGATTTTAATTTGACTACATACGTTGTCTTGTATAAGAGTGCAAAAAGATTCATAGAGCTAAATAGTTGCAACATTATGACTGTTGTTATTATTATGATTGTTTGCACTTGTAGGTTATATTGACAAATTCTCCATCTATATTATGCTTGCATTGCATCTGAATAAAAATAAAAGTAGCTGAAGCTGCATATAAATTTTTTTCTTGAAACAAGTGAAGTCACTTACTCTTGCGATGAGACCCAAGAGTCTAACGAGTGAGTTCAATCGGGCATGGTCCAAGCACTCGCCCGGGTTCGAGTGTTGGGCAGGTCAAACACTCACCGAATCCAATTGGAGTTTTAATGTTGTGAAGTCATCTTAGAATGTTAATATGTTGTGGAAGAACTATATTGATATGGACTTCCTTGATCCAATGTCTGCTTAGTTCACTAAGGATATAATTTATACCTTCTGAAACATATTGTAAGTGTGAAACTCCATATTTTAATGGGGTGTTTTTTTTCTTATAACATTTTTGTTTAGTTATTTAAAATCTAACAGCAAAAGTTTATGAACTCTACATTAACATCTTCTGAACCTATCTCCCTTGTTGCGTACTGATTGTACCATTGAATCATCTTAAATTTGTGTCAATTTAAATTCTCCATAAAGAATCTCTTAGAGTACAACGTTGATTTTGAGATTTATTTTTCATTTTTTTTTTTGCTACAAATCTTTTATATGGATATGAATGGGTACGAATCATTAGTTCAGAAAGATAACCAAAATATTCTCAAGTTTTCATGTTATGTTTCTACGATAGTTGACTAATTATGTTTGTCATCTGTGTCAACTTGGCCCTAGTCATATTAAAATTAATGTTGATTACGTTGTTACTGGTTTTACTATAATATATGAAATCATCATAGCTGAACTATCATTTGTGTGAAATATCATATGAATAAGAACAGAATTATGGATGTCATTAAATATGAAA